TGTCAAGAGCTCTCTCAGCCCTGCCTACCTCACAGGGTGTCTGTTGTGGGGAGGGGAAGGGAAAGGAGTTTGTCAGCCGCTCTGAGACACCTTTGGGTAGTGAAGGGCGGGGTATAAATCCAATCTCCTCTCCTCCAATCTCCAAATCTGAGTGCCAGGAGGCAAAATCAGGGGAAGGCCTCAGCCTCTCTGCTCCATTGTTGGGACCTCCAGAGGAACTGGTTGGCCACTGTGTGAGACAGGATGCTGCACTAGATGGACCACTGGTCTGATCCAGCAGGGCTCTTCTGATGTTCTTATGAAGGCCTCTACCTTCTCCACAGAAGATCAGCTGCTGCAATTACAAATGGAAAAGGCTAATATGATCCTTCGCTTCAAGGGCATGCCAGAGACTAAGGGTGAGAATCTAAAGGAAACGATGTGTGAAATACTGGCCCCAGTGACAGAGATGACGGTGGAACAGCTGATATGAATGTGGTCTACAGGTCATATTCAGAATATATACAGGTCATATTCAGGTCATATTCAGAATATATAAAGAAAAATCATCTGCCTGGGGAAATTGTCGTAAGATTCTTGAAGAGGCATGTGAGGGATGAAATCCTGAAAGCAGTATCTGGAGTACCCCTGAAAGTGGGGGGAAATGTCATAAGAGTACTCAAAGACATTCCATTTGAAATAAGGCAAAGGAGAAAGAAATACAAAGATCTCTTTCTTCAGACAAATTCAATTGGATATAGATGGCTAACTCCAGAAGGCGTCACCTTCAAAATCAAGTATAAAAAAGAAAAGATTGACTCTGTTCTGAAAGCTCGGGAATTTTTAAGAGTCTAGTTGGGAGGGCCAGAGGAGGAAGAAAGAGAAGGGGAGGACAGTAAGTCCAGTGGCAAGCTGGACTCGGATTCTTCCGGAAAGGACTCTCTTTCAGAGAAAGGGGCAGCAGCTCCTAAAAGCCCTTATAAGTTGCGGAAGAGACGGGGCAAGGAGAAGTGAAGGCTGAAGGACTCTGATGTTAAAAAAATCCCCTTCGGGGGGCTCAAAAAAGAAAAGAAAAGAAAGAAAGCCTCTACCCAAAGGAGTCTCAGAGCGGCTTAAAAACTCCTTTCCATTCCCCTCCCCACCACAGACACCCTGTGAGGTAGGTGGGGCTGAGAGAGCTCTGACAGAAACGGCTCTTTTTCAAGAACAGCTGTGCCAGAACTATGGCTTGCCCAAGGTCATCCAGCAGGTGCAAGTGGAGGAGTGGGGAATCAAACCGGGTTCTCCCAGATTAGAGTCCGCGCACTTAACCACTACGCCAAACTGCTCTTGAGAGAACAGCTCTGAAAGAACTTGTGAGTGACCCAAGGTCACACCAGCAGCTGCATGTGGAGGTGCGGGGAATCAAACCCGATTCTCTCGGATTAGAATCTGTGCTCTTTTTTTTTTTAATAAATATTTTTATTCATTTTCCCCAATCACCCACACCCAACGAATCGTAATATAACAAATAAATTGTCAGTAATATTTACAAAGACAGGCATACAGCCGTAGGAGTTCCTCTCAAAAATTTCCTAATAACATCCTAGTCAGTTAATTACATTTCCATTCAAGTAATCTTTTCCATTTCTTGTTATAGATTTCTTCATCTTTCCCTTTTAGTGCATTTGATAATTTATCCATCTCAGCGACATCAAACCATTTTTCAATGACTTCTAATTTGTCTGGAATTTTCTCAGTTTTCCAATATCTGGCATAACTTATTCTGGCAGCAGTTATACAGTACAATAGCAGCGTTTTCTCTTCTTTACCCCTTACATCAGTCATAATATTCAAAAGGAAGATTTCTGGTTTTAATGGTATTGCTAGACCCATAATTTCTGCTATCCATTTTCTAACTTCCTCCCAATATTTCTTAGCTTTGGTGCACGTCCACCACATATGGAGGTATGTGCCAATATTTTGATGACATTTCCAACAAATGTTTGTCCCATTATTACCATATTTTGCCAGTCTTGACGGGTGCAGGTACCACCTATGTACTACTTTATATATGTTCTCTTTGAAGGTTGTAGCCCGTGTAATTTTTATGTTTGTTTCCCAAATTTGCAACCATTTATGTTTATCTATTTCATATCCTAAATCTCTGTTCCATAATTTCCAACTGGCCCATATCACATCTTCCTGTATCTTTTTCTCTAAAAGAATGTTATATATCTTTTTAATCAGTTGCACTTCCGTTATAAGCCAAGCCTTATCTAAATCTGTTTCTTTTCCGTAAAAGCCGATCTTTACATCTTCCTTGAATCGTGATTTCAACTGAAAGTTTTGCAACCAGGTCAGCTCTATTTTTTGGGCTTTCAAGCTATCTAATGTTTTAAGGTTATTCCCACTATCTAACAAATTTTCATAGGAACAGCTTCCCCCATGAAGATACAATGATGGTATTTCTAGAGCTTCTATAGGTGCGACCCATCTGGGTATCCTCTTATAATGTTGCGCTTAACCACTGCAACAAACTGGCTCTCAGTTCTCCTCAGCTCACCCCAAGGACGTAGGGGGTGAGCTGATGAGGAAGAGGAGTTTGTGCTCTGGGCAAGGCTTATTAACTGAGTGTTCCGGGTAGCCCAAAGTGCCGGATAGCAAAACTTGTGCTGTGCTCAAAAGTTCCATCCGCCAGAGAGGCCGACCGAAGCTTTCTCGAGTCAATTCCCCCCACTGTTTTTTCCTCGCAGGTCGTGAGTGGCTACTACAACGGACTGATTAGCGTCTGGGATATCATGACTGGGCAGAAGATCATGGAGTTCCCCACTTCCCAAGGCAAGCTGGTGGAGATCACGGCGATGACCTTCGATGCGCCGGAGAGGAGGTTGATCACCGGCCTGAAAAATGGGACGATCAAGCTATGGAATTTCAACAGCGGGGCCTGCCTCGCCGTGCTGCCTTCGGTGGACAGGAACGAGGTCAGTCCTGGTGGGAGAAAGGCAGGGCTATTTCTGGGCAGGAACGCACAGGAACGGAGTTCCGGCTGGCTCCCAAGTTGGCCACGCCCAGCAGGAACTCATTAGCATAATAGGCCACACCCAACAGCAGGAACTCATTCGGATTGGCTACATTAAGGGGTGTGTGGCCTAACATGCAAAGGAGTTAAAAAAGGCCCTGGGTTTTGACCACAAACAAGGTCAACAGAATAAGAAGCAAAAGGTGGGTGTGGCTGGATGACCACACTTCTGGTAACACGGGGGTGCGGCCTAATTTGCCAATGAGCTGTGCTGTCAGGGGTGTGGCCTAATAGGCTAATGAGTTTCTGCTGCTGGGTGTGGCCTATTATGCTAATGAGTTCCTGCTGGGCTTTTTCCACAAAAAGAGCCCTGGCAGAAAAGGAATATCTCTGGCTAGTCATGGATGTCTCCCTCCCCCCTTTCAGATTTGCTTCAAGAGTTCTTTGCTTAAGTTGGACTTTACCTAAATCTCTCTGCCTTTGGTGTCAAACTGGTGGTATCCGTTCCTAGTTAGCCTCTGTCCTTGCCGATAATCACCGCCATGTCAACCGCAGCTGCAGTGCACTGGAATCTGCAGCCAAGCGCGTTATGCTGTTCCCGGCAGCATGAGCTGGCTCTGAGAACAGCTAAATATTCAATGCAGTGTCTTCACTCATTTAACATCAACTTTTTATTCAACTCTTAAGCATTCAAAGGTTCAGTAAAGTTTCCCTTTTTCAATAGCCGTTAGGAGCCTTAAAGCCCCAAGTCCTTGAGTGATTCGTGTGATAAAAGGAGCTGTGTTTCTCCCGTCTTGCTAGCTCTGAGGTTACAAACATACCGGGAGGAGGCACTGCCCCCTATATACAGGGGGTAGTGGAGGAGGAGGGTAATAAACAACTTTTCCCCTGGGCAAATGTATCAAAGGAAAAAGGCCATATAGAACCAATCAGGAAGGCTACCTCTAACCAGCTGACTTCGAGGTTACTAGAACTACATTTCCCAGAATTCTTATAAATTTAAAGCTACAGTACAACTTGCTATGCGTTACTATTCTAATCTCTGCTGGGGCAGCACACGTGTGCCAGGGCTCTTGCACACCCATAATGGCTTGTTTGTTCACACGACGTGCCATTGTCGCAGTGAATGTCAGAAATGAATTTCATTTTTTAAAATTCTCTTTTTATTCATGGACGCCATTTATAGTCTGCCTTTCTCACTTGGACTCAAGGCGGATTACAGAGAGCGGGTTGAGACAATCGACGGTACAGGACACTCGGTGAACAAAGCTTATAGGAATCAAGAGTTGTAGAACTAACCAGAAGTCTGAAAATAGAACTGGAGCAAAGGAGAAGTCTTAACATGGCACATTAAATGATGGGGGAAATTACGCAGTCGGATCGTAGTTTCAGCAAGCTATACATGGTAGTATTTGTTGGAAATGTGTGGGGTGCTAGGTCTAGATTCCAGTCATTATAGGGTTAAACTGGTGTTTACCTTCTGTGCTATTGTTTAGACTGACCTGGAAGGGAAACTTGGCTCAGAGCCGATGGGAAGATAGCCCGGGAAAATCTAAGTCTGTTTACTAGCAATCATTGGTTACTGTGTTCAGGTGACTTCCTTCTAGGGGTCAAGAAGAAGGACAATCTCCATTGTTGTGTGACCACGTGTCTGTAGCTGTAAGCAATGTTCCCTCTAAGCTCTGGAGCAAAAATTCTCCTTTGTGAGCGACTGGCATGAAAGTTGTGAGCGAGGGATCTGGCTACTGCATCAATTAGTTTGCTCTGGAGCTATCCTTCCTGAGCAAAGACAAAAATGTGTGAGTTGGAGGCTTAAAAACTGTGAGCTAGCTCACACTAACTCAGCTTAGAGGGAACACTGGCTGTAAGATTTAAAGATGTAGCTCTAGATATCTCTTTTGTTTCTGAAGCTTTCCATGCGACCCCTTCCCTTAGAAATACAGCTTTTTACACAGAAAGAAATGTCTCCTCTCCAGTGAAGTGAAGATCCATTGCAAACCCTTGAGTATTTAGGTATTTTTTTGCCTGTTTTCCCAACAGTATAGACCACAGCCCCTAATAATTTATCCTCCTCTGTTTGTCTGCCCTGATCTGGATGGGCCAGACTAGCCCGATCTCATCAGATCTCAAAAGCTAAGGAGGTTCAGCCCTGGTCAGTACTTGGATGGGAGACCACCAAGGAAGTCCGGGGTCGCTACGCAGAGGCAGGCAGTATCAACACCACCTCTACCCTGCCCTGGATGGCCCAGGCTAGCCTGACCTCATCAGATCTCGGGAGCTAAGCAGGATTGGCCCTGGTCAGTATTTGGATGGGAGACCACCAAGGAAGTTCAGGGTTGCTATGCAGAGGCAGGCCATGGCAAAACCACCTCTCTTTGGTCGAATCTGCATTTGTATTTCCCACCGGTGTCCCAGCCTTCGGACTTCGTCTTCAAAAAAGTTGTCTGCATTTGCTTTCGTTTTCATACCTCGACAGTGCTAGCATGCTTTTGCATGTCTGCATATGTTTATCGCCCTCTCGTGGCGGCTCCACTGTCATTGCGCCTCCACACCACTTGAAATGAATCTTCTCCAAAAAACGTTCAAACAGGCATAGAGAAAGACGGCGTCACAGCAGCACGAAACTGATTTGTAAATGCAGATGCAGATTCGACCTTTGTCTCTTGCCTTGAAAGCCCACTCAAGGGTTGCAACGAGGGGTCTGGGACTTGGCGGCACTTTCCACCCGCCGTGTATCGTAGACGGATCTTTGTGATGATTTCCTTGACCACGTAAACAGCTCTCTGTATTTTCCTTCCTTTTGCTCTCATGTCTTTGGAGCAGATCAGCTGCGTCTTATACCTGAATAACAAGATTTTCGTGTCGGGGTGGAGTAGGAGAGTGACCTGGTACCTGTAAGTCGGAAGCCAACGGGGGGGGGGGCAGTCTGGGCATGTCAGGGGCTTCAGCCCAGCACTATAGCCAGTTTGGTCTCGTGGTTAAGTGCGCGGACTCCAATCTGGGAGAACCAGGTTTAATTCCCCACTCCTCCACTTGCACCTGCTGGATGACCTTGGGCAAGCCATAGTTCTCTCAGAGCTGTTCTTGAAAAAGAGCAGTTTCTGTCAGAGCTCTCTCAGCCCCACTGACCTCACAGGGTGTCTGTTGTGGGGGGAGGGGAAGGGAAAGGAGTTTGTAAGCCGCTCTGAGACTCCTTTGGGTAGTGAAGGGCAAGGGGTATAAATCCAGTCTCATCTTCTTCTTCTACCTCACGGGGTGTCTGTTGTGGGGAGGGGAAGGGAAAGGAGTTTGTAAGCCGCTCTGAGACTCCTTTGGGCAGTGAAGGGCGGGGTATAAATCCAATCTCTTCTTCTCTCAGAGCTCTCTCAGCCCCACCTACCTCCCAGGGTGTCTGTTGTGGGGAGGGGAAGGGAAAGGAGTTTGTAAGCCGCTCTGAGACTCCTTCGGGTAGTGAAGGGTGGGGTAGAAATCCAATCTCCTCCTCCTCCTCTTCTTCTAGATTAGACCCTCCGAGGGAACAATTAGGCCTCGGTTGGTAGGGATCATTTGCAGGAGGGAGTGAACTTCTCTCTGATTTTTATTTACTTTATGTGTTTGCCTCACTAATGCCTTGTCTTTCTCCCGGATGGGGACCCAAAGCGCCTTACATCATTCTCCTCTCCCCTTTTTATCCTCGCAACAACCCTGTGAGGTACTTCAGGCTGGGAGTGTGTGACTGGCCCGAGGCCACCCAGCAAGCTTCCATAGCAGAGTGGAGATTCAAACTTGGGGTCTCCCAGATCGGTCAGTCAGTCATAGTTTATTCGGTATATAACCAGCACAAGTCAATCACAATCAATACAAAAAAGGGTACCAATAAAATATATAAAATATAAAATATTTAGGTTTAAAACTGCGTTTAAACTGCCTATGTTAATTACAAAATTGCTAAAACTCGTAACTTTCTACAATACTCTCTCAACGTTGAATAAAAATTATTCAACTATTGAATAAGTGTCACATGGATTATACAATTCTACTCCCCATATCCTAGACCTTCTCGATTGTCTCTAGTATTGTTCTACACGTGCAGCACGTATTTTTTGAGCTCTTGTTAAAAATTTAGCGCAGTTATGCGCTGTGGAGCAGGATCAAATAATAGCTTCCTACTTATCTCCTTGTCCAAGTATCCATGGTACCTCCTTAAGATAGGATGGATAATCTTTACTCTGATGGTTTCATCAAATACACAGTGGAGTTAAATATATTCAGTTGTTTCAACTTTCCCTGAACTGCACGGGCATAGTCGCTCTGACAGAGGTACCTTTTTATACCGGCCTTCTAACACTGCTTAGTGTGACGCTATGACCACTGCACCACACTGGCTGTGTCCACACTGGCGGCTTGGCGCAATATGGTGCCGCCTCTAATTGAACTGGTTTAAAGTGTTGTGGGGCATAGCAACCACACAGCGCACCCTGTTGCGGGTTACCCACGGAGACATCCCTGGTAAAGCATCCACATTATTGTAGGCATGGACCGCGCTGCCAAAAAATTTCCAAAATTCATGTGCGCGCATAGGAGCACATGTGCGTGCATATGCACATACGTGCATGTGCACATAGGCAATTTAAAAAAGATGCCTCCCTAGCGGCAGAACGGATCTGCAGGTTCAGACTGCCAAATCCGTTCTGCGCGCGCTCCCCCATGTTCAGACATCCGGCCATGCGCAATGAATGCACGGGGAAACAAAACCACCACTTGGGAGGTGGTGGCTTTTTAACACAGCTCCAAGTCGTCCTCTGACAGGGTGAGTACGCCCGGGGAACGCCTGACAGATGTGGCTGTGTGACCGGGCCCATTTAATCCGTTTGTGAAATGTGCCTCTATCGGGCCAAACCGCCAGTCTGAATGCAACCGCTGTCTCTCTTACCTAGGTGTATTTTGGGAAGGAGAGCGAGGAAGCTGTCTAGAGCAGTGCTTCCCGACCTTTTCGGTATGGTGACCCTCAAGGCTCATACCCAGAAATAAACTTTGTTGGTCTTAAAGGTGCCCCTGGACAGTTTTATTCTGTTGCTTCGGACCAACACGGCCACCCCCACCCACCCCGAACGGATTTCCAGACAGAGATCAGTTCCCCTGGAGGAAATGGCTCATTTGGAGGGTGAATTCCATGGCAGTAAAACCCACTGAAGCCCCTCCCCTCCCCAAACCCCGCCCTCCCCAGGCTCCACCCCCAAGGCTCCAGGAATTTTCAACCTGGAATTCGCAACCCTACTGGTAACACTACCTCCCCTTGCCTTAGGTCCACTTTGGCTGCAGTGTCTAGAGTTTCCCACCATAAAAAAATCTAAGAAGTCCAGGGGGCTTTGGAGCTCTTGAGAGGGGGACAAAGGCCGTTTCCGCACTCTCATGTTTGCCGCAGCCGGTGTCCTCCAAGCAATTCTGCACTGAAATCGAATTCAACCTTCTTTTTAAACCAGCCCCCCCCCGCACTAAAATCAAGTTCAGCCTTCTTTTTATTCTGGGTTTCCCCCCCATTCTGCACTTCAGTGTTCAGCCTGGTTTCATCCTGCTGTTGCCCCGGTGTCGTGTACTGAAAATCCCACCGTGTGTGCGGTTCCGCTAGTACACAACACCCGGGTTATTTGGATGCCGTTTTGCTGCGGACTCGGGGCGATTCTGCATCTAGCATTCGCTCCACGTTTTCTCAGCAGGAGGAGAAAGTGCCGCTCGGAACCACATTCAAATACCTTAGGGCAATGCCGTGCCGACTGCAAAGTCACCCCTGGACGGCCATAAATCTATGCAGAAGGTACGGTAAAACCCGATGGTCACAGAAGGCGAAAGTGGCACGCAACGCAGAGGGGAATTTCTGTTCCAACGGTGGGTTTCGTACAACAGAGGGAAAAGCCAATGTAGAACCCGCCCCTAATTGCCTTGACTGAAACACTGAGAAAAGCCGGGGTTGCAGGCAAATGTGGAGCGGACCAAAGTTGGGGGGCGGAGAGTGATTGTGTTGGGGTTGCTTCGACTTCACGCCAGTCTGAGTGAGCGGCTTAATTCTTTTCTTTTTCTTTTTACAAACAGGGACACCAAGGAAGAGGAGAAAGTCATTGAATGTAAGCACTGGAAGTCGTATCACTCGGACGACGTCGTGGCGATAGACAGTTACGGCAATAAGCTGTTGGTGACCTCGTCCTGCAACGGAGACATTGTGCTGTGGAACATAAATTCCGGCCAGGCGTTCTGCAGGTTTAACGCATCCCAGAGTCCTTTGGTCCTTCTCCCCAAAAGGGTACGTTAAATGTAGTTTACCAATTGAGGTTGTGGGTTTTTTTTTTTGCAGGGCTGCTTGCAAGGTTGCCCCCCTCTGGGTTGGGAGATACCTGGGGATGGTGCCGGAGGAGGGCGGGGTTTGGGGGAGGGGAGGGACCGCCCTCCAAAGCAGCTGTTTTCTCCAGGGGAGATGATCTCTGTCAATTGGAGATCAGCTGTAGTCCTAGAAGGTGTCTAGCTACCACCTTGAGGTTTTATAACTATAAAGACACTCCGTGAATGAATTATGAACATAAGCAGAAAAATTATATTGTATGAAACAATTCAAACATTTTGAAATCTTTGTTAAAGAACCTATATATATACAGAGCTAGGAGCAAAAAGTACTTGATACAAAGGGAGAATAGAATTAGAGTCCACAATTCCTTAGTTCCACGTCATATGTGAGTACAGCTATACACGGCCGGCTTCACTGCCAGTTGGGGATATAGTTAATATGTTGTAATATAGTAAATATGACATGGAAATATAACTTTCAGTTCACAGCTAAAGAGTACCAGCTATCTGAAGAAGCGTAACGTGAACGCGGCAGTGAAGCCAGCCGTGTATAGCTGTACTCACATATGACGTGGAACTATTGCACTCCTGAAGTTTTTTATACAAAGGAATTGTGGGTGAAGAAGGACTTCCTTTTATCCGTTCTAACCCGACCGCTCAGCAATTTCCTGCATCGTGCCGGGGGTTTGGACTAGAAGACCCTGGAGGTCCCTTCTGACTCTATGGCTCTGTAAACTCTGTTAAATTCTGAATGTATGAAAACATTGAGCACGTAGAAGAAGAAGAGACCTCAGCGGGGCCTCTGGGGCGTTGCCCGTGCTGAAATGTGTCCTTGTCTTGCCTTTGACCAGGAGTTCCTCATGAGTGCAGATGGAACCATCCTGAAAGAGACTCCAATTAAGGCAGGTTTGTCCCGGGAGGAGGTTGGGAAAAGGTCCTCGTCCCACTCTCGGACAAAACTCACCTTGAGACCTTCCAGCGCGAACTACCCCCAGCGCAACAGTTTCCTGTCTTCGTCTAGCCACAAAACTTTACAGCCCCAGGTAGGTAGCTCTGTTGGCGGGTTCATGGTGGAACATAAGAGAAGCCAATGTTGGACCAGGCCAGTGGTCCATCCAGTCGAACACTCTGTGTCACACAGTGGCCAAAAAGACCAGGGGCCATCAGGAGGTCCAACAGTGAGGCCAGGATACTAGAAGCCCTCCCACTGTTGACCCCCCCAACCAACAAGAATACAGAGCATCCCTTGCCCCAGACTGAGAGTTCCTATCTGTATCTTGTGGCTAATGGCCAATGATGGACCTCTGCTCCATAGGCTTATCCAATTCCATCTTATAAGAACATAAGAGAAGCCAGTGTTGGATCAGGCCAACGGCCCATCCAGTCCAACACTCTGTCACACAGTGGCCAAAAATACCAGGTGCCATCAGGAGATTCCACCAGTGGGGCCAGGACACTAGAAGCCCTCCCACTGTTGCCCCCCCCCCCAAGCACCAAGAAGACAGAGCATCCCTTGCCCCAGACTGAGAGTTCCTACCTATACCTTGTGGCTCATAGCCACTGATGGACCTCTGCTCCATATGTTGATCCAATTCCCTCTTGAGGCCGTCCATGCTTGTAGCCGCCGCCACCTCCTGTGGCAGTGAATTCCATGCGTTAATCACTCTGTGGTTCCATAGGCCGCCCGAGAGGAGCTTTAAGTGCCCAACTCCCAGATAATGTCTTGTAAGCCTTTCAGCCAGGGAAATGAGATATTTTGAGCTTTCGGTCAGCGTGAAGAAGGGTTGCCATATGTGGGTTGGGAAGTTCCTGGAGATTTGGGGGTGGAGCCTGAGGAGGGCGGGGTTTTGGGGGGGAGTGTCCTCAGCAGGAGGAAATAAGGCCCTGGAGACCCCTCTCCCAAAACAGCCATTTTCTCCAGGGGAACTGATTTCTCTCGTCTGGAGGTCGGTCGTAATTCCAGGAGATCTTTATGGCCCAACTGGAGGTCAGCAACCTTAGCATGAAGTCATTCTCATGGCCCTGAGTCATGGGCCTTTAATGTCAAGTGTCTTATGAATACATGCCTGTAGATGGATCTGGCCCGATTCCCTTATCTGTCTTAAGGTGTGGTTATTTGTTATACCTAGAAATACCTCTTTGGACTAACTGAGAGCCAGTTTGATGTAGTGGTTAGGAGCATGGACTCTAGTCTGGGAGAACCGGGGTTGATTTCCCCCACTCCTTCACATGCAGCCAGCCGGTGTGACCTTGGGTCAGTCACAAGTTCTCTCGAGCTGTGTTCTCTCACGAGCAGTTCTCGCGAGAGCTCTCTCAGCCCCACCTCCCTCACAGGGCGTCTGTTGTGGGGAGGGGAAGGGAAAGAAGGTTGTCAGCCGCTCTGAGACTCCTTCGGGTACTGAAGGGCGGGGTATAAATCTAATCTCCTCCTCCACCTCCTCCTCCTCCTCAACCAAGATGGTCACCCACATCAGAGTGCAGGTGGTGGCTTGGTTTCTTTTTAGCTGCTTCCCTGGTTTCTTTTATATCCCAAGAGTATCACATTGGGTCATTGGTGGATATATGCAAAACGATTCGGTGGCCACTGTAAATGACTTTGCTGGCCACGGTCAAGGGATGGGACGCGCATAGCTATTTTGAGGGCATTGTAAGGACAAACCCCCCCCCCAATCATGTGGGACGGGCCTGAGGCTCACAAACATGGTGCTCCCCCCTCCCCCTGGGAGTCATCGGTCTTGGGTTGCCGATAGGCTTGACTTCATGGCGATATTTGGTTAATACAGCAGAGTTTTGCCCAGTCATAGGAGTGTGATCCCGAGTGCAGTAAATAAAGCTTCCAATAATTATATTGCAGAAAAAGGTAAACTTACCTTTATTCAAGTAGATCCAGTTCGCATTCAGGTCGTAGTCAAGAGAGGCCCAATCTGAAGAGGATTTTTCCCGATCACAAATGGCCAGTGAATCCGGCATCATGTGTGTGGGAGTATGAGGGCACTGACTCCCCAGGAGGGACTTGAAGATATGTGTATCTCCATGGAAGGCCATGTGCAGCGAGGGAGAGGACAAAGGGAGAGAGGATAGGAGAGGGCAGAGGGCAGCTCCCAGGTTGAGACCAAGAGAGGCATCCCATTCAAGGAGTTAACACGTGTAGACACTTAGGGTGATGTAGGGCTCCCCCCCTCCAATGTCCAGGCATGCTTAGTTGCCCACTCTAATAGACTGACTGTGGAGGGAGGACAGGTTGGGCTTGACATTCTCTAGTTCGGTGTCGTGGTTAAGTGCGCGGACTCTAATATGGGAGAACCAGGTTTGATTCCCCATTCCTCCACTCGCAGCTGCTGGATGACCTTGGGCAAGCTGTAGTTCTGGTCAGAGCTGTTCTTGAAAATGAGCAGTTTCTGTCAAGAGCTCTCTCAGCCCCGCCTACCTCGCAGGGTGTCTGTTGTCGGGAGGAGGAGGGAAAAGGAGTTTGTAAGCTGCTCTGAGACTCTTTCGAGTAGTAAAGGGCGGGGCATAAATCCAAACTCCTCCTCCTTTTCTTCTTCTGAGCCCAGTTTGGTGTCGTGGTGAAGTGCGCGGACTCTAATCTGGGAGAACTGAGTTTGATTCCCCCACTCCTCCACATGCAGCTGCTGGTTTGACTTTGGGTCAGTCACAAGTTCTCTCAGTGCTGTTCTCTCAAGGGCAGTTCTCAGAGAGCTCTCTCAGCCCCGCCTACCTCACAGGGCGTCTGTTGTAGGAAGGGGAAGGGAAAGGAGTTTGTAAGCCGCTCTGAGACTCCTTCGGGTAGTGAAGGGCCATGGGGTGTGAATCCACTCTCCTCCTCCTCCTCTTCTCCTTCGTCTTCTTCTTCTTCCTTGCAGCCAGCCTGGTATGCGCAAGGAAGCCACAAAAACCTGCTCCAAGAACCAGATGATGTTGACATTGGTGCAACCGGCCCTCCGAAAGCAAACATGCCAACCTGGCAGGAAGAAGTGGGGAGCTCCCAGGTTGCAGTGGAGAAGGTTGGTGGTTCTGCTTTCCAGTTTGGTGTAGTGGTGAAGTGCGCGGACTCTAACCTGGGAGAACCGGGTTTGATTCCCCCACTCCTCCACTTGCACCTGGCTGGATGACCTTGGGCAAGCCGTAGCTCTGATAAGGAGCTGTTCTTGAAAAAGAGCAGTTTCCGTCAGAGCTCTCTCAGCCCCACCCACCTCACAGGGTGTCTGTTGTGGGGAGGGGAAGGGAAAGGAGTTTGTAAGCCGCTCTGAGACGCCTTTCGGTAGTGAAGGGCGGGGTATAAATCCAAACTCTCTCTCTCTCTCTCCTTATTGTCTCGGGGGTACAGTGACCCGGATGGCCCCGGCTACAGTGATCTCAGCAGAGCTCACAAGCCAAGCAGGATCGGCTCTAGTTAGTCCTTGGATGGGAGACCACCAAGGAAGTCCAGGGTTGCTATGCAGAGGCAGGCAATGGCAAACCACCTCTGTTCATCTGCCCTGGTCTGAACGGCCCAGAGTAGCCTGATCTCATTGGATCTTGGAAACTAAGCAGGATTAGCTCTGGTTAGTCCTTGGATGGGAGACCACCAAGGGAGTCCAGGGTTGCTACGCAGAGGCAGGCAAGGGCCAACCCACCTCTGTTCGTCTGCCCTGGTCTGAACGCTAAACTAAGGCCCTTTTCTTTTTTTAAAAAACAAACGCCAGGGTGAAGTTTCGCCCAAGCGCATATCGCCGACCTTAAAAAAAAAAAAGGCGGGCGCAAATCGGAAGCCTCAGGCTTCCGAACGGAAGTTGTTTCTCAACGGTGGAGAGCGATCAGACGGCGGGTACAGCGATTACAACCGTTGCACTCAGGATACCACCACTTGGGGACCTAGTGGCAGAGTACAATGGTTTAAAGGGCTTTGCAACGGTTAGGGACGGAAGGCAGATGTTCTACGTGTGAACGCCGGTAAGTACACCGATTGCAACCGGCACCTATACCGTTGCAAACGCCGCGTCTGAACGCACCCTCTGTGTCACACAGGGGCCAGAAATACCAGGTGCCATCAACAGGTCCACCAGGTAGAGTAAACAACAGTGAAAATGGTTTATTTTATAGGAGGTCAAACAAACAAGGTGCAGAATAATAACAGTAAGTGGGTGAAAAGAAAAGAAATCAAATGCCCTAACGCGTCTAAATATATACCGTCCCTCGTTCACTCTCTCAAGTGACACTAGACTACTCAGCCTTCCCCACATAGGGTTGCCAAGTGAGAATGGAGCCGCAGCGGGGGACTCCTGGCTTGCGGCTGGAGCGCGCGCCGCATCCACGTCACCTGGAAGTGACGCAGGCATGCCGGGCACGCTGGGGGCGGGGCCACGGCCATCTGAGGGAAAACCATAGAGTTTTCCCTCGGATGACCGTGGCCCCGCTCCCAGCGTGCCCGGCATGGTCGCGTCACTTCCGGGTGACGTGCACGTCGGGGTGGAGTTCCCCCCGGGGCCCGATCCGCCGCCGCCGGGGAACGGGCCTCTGGGGCGGAGTTTCCCCCGCCCCCCTGGGGGACTTGGCAAGCCTTTCCCCACAGCAGCCTCCCTTCTGGCCCTGTTCCCTGGGAAGAACAACAACTCTTCCTCTGTACCAGCTCTTTTTATTATAAGTCCCCTTTCTCTGTGGTTGGCTAATCTTGGCTTTAAAACCTCTCAGGGGCTTCTGGGAGTTGTAGGCCTGGCCTCCTCCCACTGCTACACAGGCTCCCTGGGCCTGCTAGGCCTTGTTTGCACAGCCCAGATCATGGCAGGTGGGGAAGACTTGTGTATTTATCTATTTGCGTTTTTACCCTCCTCCTTTCTCACTTGGACTCGAGGTGGATTGTGTAGCGTGAGTCAGTACCAGCAACAGGATGGGACATTCAATAAGCAACGCAATAGGATGAGGGTCGTAGAACCCACCGGAAGTCTAGAAACCGCACGGACGCCAAGCATAAGTTTTAACACACAACACATTAAAGGATGCAGAATTATATAGTAGGTTTCAACTTAACAGCAAACTATACACAGTGGTACAGACTGCAGTCCCTAATAACTTTTCTGAGTAACTTTGTAAATAGGGCTGCCAAGGGGGAGGCGGGTGGCGGGTAAACCTCCGCTTTGGAGGTCCGATTCCCGCCACGCCCGCCGAAGCGCAGCGTGGCTGCGTCACCAGAGGTGACACAACCACGTCAATCATGTTGGGGGCGTGGCCCTGATCGTCGGAGGGAAAACTCTATGGTTTTCCCTCCGACGATCGGGGCCACGCCCTCAACGTGATCAACGTTGCACGTCACTTCTGGCGACGTGCTGCTGGTGCGCGCACATCGACGGACGGCTTCCAGAGCCCAGCGAGGCTCCCCCGCCGGTAAGAAAAATTGACTTGGCAACCCTACTTGTAAATCATTTAGTACACTGGAACCCTATTGCCTGCATAGAAAAACCCTCTTGAATAATTCAGTTTTGCATAGTTTGCAGAAAGCCAGGAGAGGGGGAGCCTTCCTGACCACCTTGGGCAGGCTGTTCTACAAGGTGGGGTGCCACAACAGAGAAGGCCCTGTGCACGGGCAGCTTTTCCTCTTGCCCATTTTACAGCGCTCACAGTTCATGGGACGCAACCTGATGTGGTTTCTCTTCACTTGAGGGGAAGGGTTTGCATTTTGTGCTTGTATAAATATGACCTCTAGCAGTTTGAAAGCAAGAAATTGCAAGTAGATATATAGGTACCACTTCGGTGGGAAGGAAACAGCGTTCCGTGCACCTTGGTGTTTAGTCATGCCGGCCACATGACCACGGAAACGTCTTCGGACAGCGCTGGCTCTTCGGCTTTGAAACGGAGATGAGCACCGCAACCCTAGAGCCAGACTCGACTGGCTTTCGAGCAAGGGAAACCTTTAGCTTTACTTTAAATATGACCTCAGTGTTACTGTGGCACTGTCGATGTTACGTCCCTTGCATCTCCCATGGAGGCTTCTGCCTGTCTCAGATGGGAACCGATTAGATTTGCGAAGGCTCCTAGATCCTGCTAACAGCCTGAATTGTCTCAGGCTACTGTATTAGCTGTTCAAACATGGACAGATCTCTTGGGCACCGCCAGAGTACATTTCTAGCTTATCTGCTTGAATAATTTCTCCCTTTCTAGATCCTTTTCCTGAATTCTCGCGAGCGTGATCCCAACACGGCCATTTTGCTGACCAGCTGTGCGGATGGGTACATCTACGCCTGGGCGGTTGGCAGCAAAGGTGGAATGATGGGCAAGTTCCGAGGAGGCCACGGAAATGCCCGGGACACATTGGTCAGCGCGATGTCCACGGATGTGAACAATTTGGTCCTTTTTACTGGAGATTCCTTGGGATACATTGCAGTCAGTATTTCGGTTTTATTTTGGGTTGACTCCCCCTAAGTTGCTGGAAGTGTATTCTCTGCACAGCCAGAAGCCGTTTAGAAAGAGGGCCGCATATCGTGTTGGGTTCTTCCACACACTCATTTTTGTTTGGTGTAGTGGTTAAGTGCACAAACTCTAATCTGGGAGAACCGGGTTTGATTCCCCACTCCTCCACTTGCACCTGGCTGGATGACCTTGGGCAAGCCGTAGTTCTGATAAGAGTTGTTCTTGAAAAAAGAGCAGTTTCTGTCAGAGCTCTCTCAGCCCCACCTGCCTCACAGGGTGTCTGTTGTGGAGAGGGGAGGGGAAGGGAAGAGTTTGTAAGCCGCTCTGAGACACCTTTGGGTAGTGAAGGGCGGGGTATAAATCCAATCTCTTCTTCTTGGTTAAGTGCACGGAATCTAATCTGGGAGAACCGGGTTTGATTTCCCACTCCTTCACTTGCACCTGGCTGGATGACCTTGGGCTAGGGTTGCCAAATTTATTTTCGCTGGGAGCAGGGGGCTCCCGGCCGGTGTCCTCATCGTGCGCGTGTGCGCGCCGCGTGTGCGCGCCGCGTGTGCATGCCGCGTGTGCATCACCCGGAAGTGATGTCACACGCTGGGGGCGGGGCCACGCCATTTGAGGGGAAAACAAAGAGTTTCCCCCTCAAATGGCAGCCTCTTTGTTTTCCCCTCAAATGGCGTGGCCCTGCCCCCAGCGTGTGACGTCACTTCCGGGTGACGCACACGCGGGGGTGGGCTCGAAACCCGGGGGAATTCTGCCCCCCGGGGGCATTTGGCAGCCCTACCTTGGGCAAGCCACAGTTCTGATAAGAGCTGTTCTTGGAAAAAGAGCAGTTTCTGTCAGAGCTCTCTCAGCCCCACCGACCTCGCAGGGTGTCTGTTGTGGGGAGGGGAAGGGAAAGGAGTTTGTAAGCCGCTCTGAGACACCTTTCGGTAGTGAAGGGCCGGGTATAAATCCAATCTCTTTTTCTTCTTGTTGTTGCTTGTGTGTTCCTTTTGCTTCCCCTCCACAAGCGTTTTGCTCCACTTAGCGGTACAGGGAAACATGCCAGAGATACAGCCATGTAATATTGAAGTGACCACTAGAGGGAGCAAAAGACATGCAGAAAAGAAGAAAACACACACCAAGGAATGCCTAAAATGGATGCCTAAAAGCTGTAGATCTCTCCTTGCTGCTACTGGTGGCGGCAATTAAAGGTTCTTATTTCTGTTTGGTGCGGTAGACTAAAGTAGGGAGGGGATGAGCCTCACTGAGGTCTGGTAACTTGGGTCTTTGGCTAGCTTGGTAAATTTTTTGTTCCCTTGGTAAAAACAGACTCCTGCAAGATTGTTTTACCACACATAGTACTGATGGCGAAGGGGCTGTGGGTCAGTGGTAGAGCATCTGCTTGGCACGCAGAAGGTCCCAGGTTCAATCCCCGGCACCTCCACTTAAAAGAGACCAGGCAGTTAGGTGGCATGAAAGACCTTTGCCTGAGACTAGGGTCCCCTCTAAGCTGAGTTAGTGTGAGCCAGCTCACCTTTTTTTAGCCTCCAGCTCGCACTTTTTTGTCTTAGCTCAGGAAGGAGGGCTCCAGAGCAAGCTAATTTATGCAGTAGCTAAACTGCTCACTCACAACTTTAATGCCAGGAGCTCACGAAGGAGAATTTTTGCTCACAAGACTTCATTGGTTAGAGGGGGCATTGCTTGAGACCCTGGAGAGCTGCCGCCGGTCTGAGGTTGATGGTCCAGTGGTCTGGTTCAGCTGAAGGCAGCTTCAGGTGTTCACATGAATGTGATAAATCTAGCAAATGTCTGGATGGTGTAAGAGAGAACGCTCAAAAAGGCTATGTTCCAGAGGGGAAATGCCAATACGTTGGTTGAAACCAAGCCAGGTTATTACATATGCTTCACCGGTTCACCATCCTTCTCTAGATTTGGGACATCCAGAACTATTGTAGACCGGCACAGAAAAAGGAAACCAAGGTGGAAACTGGTGATGAACCTCCTCCTCCAGAGAATATTTTTTGTTGCTTAATCCCAGAATACTGCCGGGTTCCTGCAAAGTTCTCGCCCACCGGAAGGACTGAGATGGTTAGTCGCTTTGTGTAGAAACCCTTGAATGAAATTGCTGCTGATCCCGCTTGTGAAGAAATGCCCTTTTCTCTCCTGGGGGGCTGGGAACAAGCCAAACCGCCCTTTTGCATTTTAACAGTTTTTTCTTCTGTGGGCTGAGAACAGGCGGGGAGAGGGCGTCGGTGCAATGGCTTTCCAGCTTACCTTTATACATACGCTTATTGATCTGTGTCTGTCTGTCTATCCATCTATCCATCCATTATCTTTCTGTCCATCCATCCATCCATCCATCCATCCATCCATCCATCCATCCATCCATCCATCCATCCATCCATCCATCTATCTATCATCTATCTATCATCTATTATCTATCCGTCCATGCGTCCATGCGTCCATCATCTATCTATCTATCTATCTATCTATCTATCTATCTATCTATCTATCTATCTATCTATCTATCTATCTATCTATCATCTATCTATCTATCATCTATCTATCTATCTATCTATCTATCTATCTATCTATCTATCTATCTATCTATCTATCTATCTATCTATCATCATCATCATCATCTCTGTCTGTCTCTCTGTCTGTCCGTCCATCTGACTGTCCGTCTGTCTATCATCTCCTAACGTGTGTCCCATTATGGTCACTGTTCCCAAGCGGAGTACTGTGTGCAGTTCTGGTCACCACATCTCAGAAAAGGGCAACTAGAATGATAAAAGGGTTGGAACACTTTCCCTATGAAGAAAGGTTAAAGCGCTTAGGGCTCTTTAGCTTGGAGAAACGACGGGTGACATGATCGAGGTTTACAAGATAATGCATGGGATAGAGCAGGTAGAGAAGGAAGTCCTTTTCTCCCTTTCTCACAAGACAAGAACTCGTGGGCACTCCATGAAATTGCTGAGCAGTCGGGTTAGAATACAGAAAAGGAAGTCCTTCTTCACCCAAAGCATGGACGGCTTCAAAAGGGAATTAGATAATCATACAGAGCAGAGGTCCATCAGTGGCTATGAGGCACAAGGTATAGATTGGGACTCTGGGGCAAGTGATGCTCTGTCTTCTTGGTGCTTGGGGGGCCAACAGTGGGAGGGCGTCTGGTGTCCTGGCCCCACTGCTGGACCTCCTGATGGCACCTGGTATTTCTGGCCACTGTGTGACACAGAAGAGTGTTGGACTGGAGGGGCCACTGGCCGGATCCCACACTGGCTTCTCTTCTGTTCTTAATGAGAACTGGGCGTCATCCAAGAAGGCATGCCACTGTGCTTATAGCCCTCCTCCACAGAGCCTTCGAAGAAGCCCTGTTCTGTAATCTGGGCAGTGTCGCGCCCTCAAGATCAGGCGGGAGGTAGCCCTCGCCTGTGTAAGAGCAGCCACTTCCCAGCTTATGTTTTTCTTAAACCAGCTTTCTCTCTCTCTCGGGCAGGTCCAGGACGGCTGGGTGACGTCTCTGGTCCCCCCGCCCTGCCTAAGCTCTTGGAAGGGACACCTGAAGAACATTGTCAGCGTCAGATACGTGGAGAGATTCAGAGCAATTCTCACGTCCAGCCAGGACGGCACGATCAAACTCTGGATGCTTTCGGGCAGGCATGTCGGTACGGCAGTCTCCCGGATGTTTGGCCACGGGGGCAGGAAACCGAGGGGTGAGGTCGCCCGGTCCCC